TTTTGGCAGGACTGCCCCCTGCTGTACACAGGTACGCCCTGTGCTTAATGGCAAATTTCACTGCAACAACGCCTTAGTAACACTTATTTGTCTAACATGATATTCAACGGGAATAGTCCCAGATAAAACATGCAAAAAACAAATACAACGGACAAAGCTCTTTTACATGTTGACAAACCTAGAGATACCCTAAATCATACAAACAGATAAAGCAGCAAATTTGTAATATATTTTAAATTTCTGGAGTGTTCTGAACTAATTTTGAGTAAATTACAAATCTTTCAATACTACATGAAAATAGCCTAATATGTACTGATATATTGTGATTCTAAACGGATCCGGTTTCTACTGGAATTTGAGAGAAGTCATGTCACCTATAGTACATGATCGCTAGGGTATTGAAATTAGTAATGAACAATAAACATTGCTTAATGTAAGTGAAAATCTATGTTTGCTGTTTTGTTTCAATTGGGTTTGAGAAGATTTTGAAAAAGCGTTGTCATCGTTGCCCTAGGAGGCTAAAATGTAAAACTTTCTTCCTTGATATAGGCACAAATATATAATCAGTACTTACTATCGTTGCCCTTAAACTAACGAGGGAACATTTCCAAGTGCCGGAATCCGATTTCGTCCGTTCATGTGCCGATCGATAGGTCCTATTGAGGTGTGAAAAAGCCTCAAAGGATAGCTGCCCGATTTGCTTCCTTCCAAAGTTACACCCGTTTTTCTGTTTTTCCTAGCGAAAAACGCACTACATTGAAAAATTCATAACTCAGTCAGTTTTTTCAATATCCGCTTGAAAGTTTCATCGAAAACAGGTGACCTGGTCTAGTATTTATGCTGAAAGTTTCAGCCTTCAACTGTGTTTCCTTTTCGAGATACAGAATTTTTCGTTCTTCAAACGATTGCTGTGCCAATTACATGAACACTGTCACTTTTCTTTTAATCAGCTGATTTCAGTCATGTAAACGGATCTCATGGTTTCTTGCCACTTAAAGTACTTTTAAATTGTGAAATTGTTAAACTTAATAACTGAATAAAGCAGCAAGAAACAAAGCAAACACAAAAAGACCTATCTCTTAAACTTTTCTCTTACTCTTTCCAGACGAACTTTACCAAAATACTGAAGGAAATCCAAAAATGATAAATCCACACAATGTCACATTACTCTTATCGAACTTCATCAGACAGCATCTACCAACAGACAAGCAGACCTATTCTCACACCCAGCGAGACGAAGACGTGTTGCACTGTATAGAGTCCTGGAAAAGTATTTAAAAGGTTATTCGAAAGATATCTGTCGCGAACGCTCAAAGTGATCATGTAATTGGCACAGCAATCGTTTGAAGAACGAAAAATTCTGTATCTCGAAAAGGAAACACAGTTGAAGGCTGAAACTTTCAGCATAAATACTAGACCAGGTCACCTGTTTTCGATGAAACTTTCAAGCGGATATTGAAAAAACTGACTGAGTTATGAATTTTTCAATGTAGTGCGTTTTTCGCTAGGAAAAACAGAAAAACGGGTGTAACTTTGGAAGGAAGCAAATCGGGCAGCTATCCTTTGAGGCTTTTTCACACCTCAATAGGGCCTATCGATCGGCACATGAACGGACGAAATCGGATTCCGGCACCTGGGAATGTTCCCTCGTAAGCCACAAGAAAGATCCAATCCTTGCTCTAGTACAAATACACCTTTATTTCGACAATTACTATTGTTGGCGTTAGTTGATGAGACTGGTACTAACGAGAGAAGAGAACAAAACAGTCCGTTACGAATCACCAGACACTACGCCGTTCGTGTCCTGTCCGTCTGCCTCGCATGTAATCGGGAGTGTAACCGAAAGTGCAAAAATAGCCATCGGATAGAGACTTAGTTATATATCGTGAGAGATAAAAACTTGTATTTTTCACTAATTTTCCAGTTTCTGGCCGAAAAATAATGGAAAACTTGGTGTTAAATGTCTCGTTTTACTTGATTTAGATAGAGAAAACGATTTTACAAGCGATAAAATGTATTTTCTTGTTTCATTAGTTTCTGGGTCGGCTGACGGCCAGTATCGCAGTGGAAGGCAAAAATATCTCCGATCGAAAAAAGTTATTTTTCAGTTCCAGGAAAGTTTTTCAAGCAAAACCAATCTGATACGAATCAGCGCAAAATTGATTTTTACAAATCCTTCGACAAAAGCCATTCAGACTAAACCAAACCAATCTACTTTCAGGAAAGTTCTATTGGGTTCGGTTAGGTAGACCAAACCAATTCCACCTCTAGTACAGATTGAACTAGTCTATTGTCTAATATGTCGACTACTAGTGCAATCATTTAGAAAGTGGGATTAGATACACCACCATGAAAAAAGCAATTGTTGGATACAATTTTATTGTACATTGTAACGTGATCATTAAACTGGCTGGTACACACAATAAAAAACGAATCGAGTCCAACTTTACGCAATGATTTAAGTTTTCTCGATTGTATCTTACATCCAACAATTGAAATCAAATGCCAAAATCAGTAGCGATAAACAGTTTCGAAACTTTACAAAAAACTGGAAAAGTTGGATATAAAATAAATCAATGTTTTATTCACTAATGAAAATAATGATTGAATAAAACTGTCTGGATCAAAATTACCATGTTCAACAAAATATATGCCGTTATTTAAAATAAAAACAATTGAATTATTTGTTAAGAAAACTGTCGATGATAAATTTCCATGGATCATCACAATTTCTCTATTGAATGATGCTGAAGTGACATCCCCAAGTCGGCGATTTTTGCATGTCATGTGGACATTTGATTTACCCTTGTGAAACAATTATTTTAATTTAATTTGATTCCACGTACCTGAAATGTCCATGATAATGAGAAACAAGGAGATTCTGAAAAATAACTTTTCAGACAAACGCGGTTGAGAAAATTTGATGTCTCGTTTTTTGGTCTGAAAAAGTTTTTTGTCTATTTTTGTCTTATATTCCTTCATTTGTCTTATTCAATGCACTTTTCTGTGTTGATTCCAAATATGCTGTTTTAGTTGAGAAAAACGCATCTTATCGAGAAAATTTGACGTTTTAGAAAACCTATCGTGAAGTCCCAAAGCAAGTACGTAAAAATATGCTAAACCTACAGGTATGTAAAAAGATGTATGTCAGATTTGAGCTCAATTGAACGTTTTTAGGTGGTTTTTACTCTTTGTAGCCATGAAGTTTTTCCAACGTTCCTAGAGAGAGAAAATTATTTTTACTGGAGACTTTAGGCAAAGAATTGATTTTTTAGTACATCGATGGAAATCAAAAAGAACAATGTATTCATTTTTTCACAAAACACCACATCGTTGCCTAATGTCTTGAGATGGTAAGCAATAACACTGACGTTTTTGTTCCTCTGAACAAAGCCGATGATCGGTAACAGAGCCAACGGCGGCGTATAGAGACCAGCGACCCCGCTCTCTCTGACTGCATCTCTCTCGCCTTCCATGGAACATACCGTTGGTGATGTAGGGTCTGAAGTAGTTAGCACTTTCGATACACAGTTAATAACCACGTACTAGTTCATTCTGAAAGTCGTAGCCTCTAACTGGAGAAACTGTACTGTACGTCTCAATTTAGTACGTGCCGACAGAAGGATGATTCGAGGAACTAAGGCATGAATAAACTTGGCTCAGATTATTATGTAACTTAGCTACAACAAGGTTCGAACATGGTAGCCTGCAAGTACCAGACAAACGACATATCATTCAAGCCACTTTGAGTATATCTTTTTCAAGCATAAATATGTATCAGGCTTTTCACATCAAGATCAGCCGTTGCGTAGTTTGGGAAAATGCGAACAGTCTCATTTTGACTCTGTTATGGTGCTCTTTCATAAACGATAGTAAAAGAAGTTAAAAAGAATTTGATGGGCATACTTTGACATGGTTGATATCCTCTGACAGTTTAGTTAAGAACGATTCGTAGTTATCGAGATAGCTTTTTAACAGGGAAGTACGGAAAATACATTTGAAAACCTATCAAAAAAGTGACAAAATACTTCTGATTTAGTCAGGACAACGATGCCAAAGACACGTGATGTTGACATTTCTTCAAAATTAATTACTACTCATGAATTATTGCGGCAAATAAAAGTGACAGAAAAGTTTGTATTTCATATACTCGATAGCATCGAGCTCTAACATCTATGAGTTAATTCTTAGCTACTTATTTAGTTAATCTATTTGCATAAACTATCATCTTTAGTATGTAAAGTTTATTTTTTAAGAGTTCTCTAAATTTGTATACTGTTATTTAGCTGCTATCAAACTTTTGTGTGTGTGCGTCTACCACACACTATAACAGAGTCAACAAATGTTACAAAAAAATTGATAAAACATCGAAAAACAAACCACTATCAACAAGAAAATAAAAAAACAACCGTTTTTGATAATAGGTTCAAAATAAGCCAAAAATGCAAAAAAAAATATTCCAGATATTTTAGTCTTTGCTTCAAAATGAATTGACTAAATATCAATCATTCTCACATAATAGAGAAAAAAATCTATTTTTGCTAAGCTACATATCTAATATCGGACTTTTAACAATTATCTGCGATATGAATAAAAATAATTGTATATCTTATAGCATTTTGCACAAAACGTAGCGCAGTCTTCAAAAAAACAAAAAATAAATTGTCGCAGATATTCAATGTAATACTGTGTTTTGTACGAAAAAGTAAGTATAAAATTGAAATCAAGTCAACGGCGGAGATGTGTTTTACTCAATAGTATGGACGGATAGTCATTATTGGACAAATCTTTGCTTAGGGACGGTTTTTCCAAAAAATATTTTCTGTAGACTCGTTTCTCATTCTTAAAGTGTCAAAAGAGAGAATACTGAAGAAATATTTTAACAAATGTATAGCGTCATACAAGCGAGTGCATTCATTCTCTTTGAAGACAATGTTTCCATTAGGCTACAACTATACCTGAGAAGCTGTCCTTTTTCTTACCATTTAATCATTTAACTTTTAATACTCGAATGCTTGTTGGATTTCATCACCATGCTCATCTGTATGATTAAATTGTTGTAATTTTTTTCTTTTTGTATTATCTGGATTTTCATCCCATGGAACAAATACTCTTGAAATGTAGGGATCAGAATCGGTGATTGTCCGATTTTGTGAGACATGACTAGTGTCATGATGGTAACGCGTCCGTTTTATATCTCGATCATCATCGTGTGCCGACTGACTTCGTTGTCGAATACTACGTTGGTCATGTATAATGGATGAAGGAGATTCATATTCGATTCTGTTATCGTCGTACGATGATACTCTCTGATTTCTCTTTTGTTTTTCTGACATTTTATTGTTATTATTATTTGCATCATAGAGTAGAGCACCTTTTATTGTCTGTCCTTCATCAGATAATTCATAGACAATTGTCTGAAATTCTCTTGGTACTTCCCATTCAACATCGTTCAATTGACTAACACTCGCATATCTCATACGATAACGACCAGATAATTTAGATTCGATGGGTAATCGTTTTTCGTACGTTGGCACTGGTACTGAATAATCTATTCGTATAAATTTATCGGCTATCGATTCGTCAGTATTGACTTTAACCGATGTGCGTGGCGATCCCTCGGTATAGTGTAACTGAGAAATTGTCGTGCTCGGAATTCTTGATTGTGGCTGATGGCTAATATCACCATCATGTCTCGACGATGTTCGGCTTCGTTGAGGAGAAATATCATCGTTAATAGAATATGGACGATTATAATAAGACGATTGTTGTTCTACTTCCAATGGTGGAGTGTTTGCATTTCCTTTTAATATTGATTTTGGCACAACAATAGTTGACGGATAGTTGGCTGTGTCGGTTGAAATATCTGTACGTTTTATTATATCACCGTAGGCATTGGTGTTTGGTGGGGGAAGAGTGTGAAATGCTAAATCGTCATCTATATCATCATCCTCAATGTCGTCGTGATGTGATTCAAGGGTTGTTGGGTGTAACTGTCGAATGAGTGGAGGTGGTGGTAGCTGTAATACACTACCTGTTAGTGGTGGTTGGTATGAGTTTATGTCATAGTCAGACGGAGATAATTGACTAGTATTTATAAAACCAGTAGACGGTCTCATTTCGATCCAATTTAATTGTTGTTGAGGATGATATTGAGTTGTCGTCGATGACAATGATGGTGGTGGTGGTGGTAACGAGTGTGGCTGAGGTATTGAACGTAAATCATCTTCATCTGGATAATAAGCTAAATTTGGTATACCATTATTATAGGATATTTGATTTCGTCCATTCAATGTTCCAACGAGAGCCAACTCATCAGCATGTGGTGGACGAAGAATAGTAGACTGAAATCTTGCAGAGTGTGGTCCATGGAGATATTCATATTCCTCACGCTAAAATTATGAAAGAAAAGATATTTGCTGATTTATTTTTTTAACAAAAATCGAAAGCTTACTTTAACATAGAAACGTTTAGGTTTAATTCGATTAAAGAAACAACGACACAAACAAATAATAATTAATAATTCAAACAAAAGAATGGCACATACAGCCCATAATACTAAATTTGTCTCCAATTGATTCATCGTCTAACGATCATAGACGCCTAAAAAAAAGAAATTAACATTAAATAAAAAGCATTTCCAGAAAAATTGACTTACATCAGTCAAAAAGCAAATTTAAACGAGAATTATTGATTATTATTTACTATCATTCAGCTATACGGAGGTAGGTAATTTTTAGATTTTGTTTGAAATTATCACTTAAAATAGCAGGTATACGTTATATTTTCAGTGAACAGGATTAACCATTCTCATACTCCTATCTCGAAACTTTTGCTCTAAAAATGAAGAAATTATTCCATGGTAATTATAATACATATATTAAATTCTATGAGTATTAGTCGTCTAGTCGTTAACTGGTCTTCTCAAATTTCTACCAGTTTGATATTGTCTAATAATTCGTTTTTTTCTTTGTGTAAAGTAAATAAATTTTATTAAAGACATTCTGTTTTTAAAAAAGTGTCAAATACGCCAAAATACGACTAAGAAGGTCTGATATCGTTCGATGTAAGTAAGTACACATGGTCAGATCTTATTTCTTGCTGTTAAACATATTTGTATAACACTTTACAGTATGAATATAACTCTTATCTTTTAAGTATATTGTTTCACTTCACAAGGTGATGTACAGATCAACAAACATAAACCATTTACTTGCCCAATTTTTTCTACTTTATTGTAGTCACCAACTGAACAATTGCAACTAAACCGAGAATAATATAAATATATGTCAAGTATATAATAGCCTTGATTCTGCAATGAATGTTTTATCAGCATTTCGTAATATTTCACAAACTTCATTGTACACATACAATAAACTCAATTACGAAACGTTAGAAGATAAGCAACCGTCACAGGTTAAGCAGAAACACTAAAGAAAGAATAACTCTTTTAAATTAATTATCTCTGTAAGCTATTCTAGTTATATAACAAGTAGATACAAAACTTCTCTTTTTGGACAGAATCAAGATATAGATAGGTATGATAGATATCTCAATTAGTCGTCAAAATCAACGAATGAATACGATTAATTGGAATAATGTGAAGATTTTGAATCAATAAAAATATGATCTTTATACGCCCTATTTAATTTCTCATCTGTCTGTCTGATCATGATATAATTCTATGCCCATTTTTTTCTATAATTCAAGTGGGAAATTACGATATTTCTATTTCACCTGTCACACATACATATACACACAAATTTCAACCCATTGAATGGTGGTGAATATATGATACAAAAGTAATTTCTGAAATGTAGATCATTATTTTCTTATGTTTCCGATGTGCTAAAAACTTCTTTGATTTTTCATATGAAAGTGCAAAATCGGCAAACAAATCTCTTTTTCATGCAAAAATTTCATCGTAAAAAATAATTCAAAAAATAAACACTATTCCACAATCGACTCGATCTGAAAAGCTGTTCATTAAAATGTGTTCGGATTTAGAGCAGAAAATGCTCACTTTTTTCAAAAAGACACTTTCTGAAATTTCAGAGTTGACATAGCGAGACATACCATTAAGAATTTAGAATAGTACAAAAATTCGATAAATTTGACTATTACAAACATTTGAGAATAATGTCACCATGACTGAGAAGAGATTACCGTTACTATAACGCACTTCTTAAGTCCACAGCACTATGTAGCTATTTGAAACAAAGCTGAGAGTACTGATGAAGATATTCAGTTCTGAATCACTGAGAAGGAAAAGAAAAGAAAAAAGTTTAGAGAAAATGTAAATTTCAATTTTCGTGTGAGCTGATTTAGACACTGATCCAGCTTATCAGACAGAGCTGATTGTCAACTAATGTAAGTAACCAAAAAACCTTGCTATTTTTGTCTTCGATTTCAAAACGGCTTTTTCTCGTTTAAGTCCAAGTTTGCAGAAGAATTAGATAGATCATCTAAAAGTATTTGAAGTTCTCCTTCAAATGGTACATAATCAATCTCATTTACATGCATTTCTAGTCAAAAAATAATAATTGATCTGATTTCTACTAAAAGATTGCTGAATTAGTCTGAATTAACCATTTTTTAATATTTTTGAAACTATTTTATAAATCTACATTCAATTCGGTAGCAATTTATACAACAGAATCTTAATTAAATAATTGTCTTATTTATTTGTTATTTTGAAAATATTTGAGATCGTGAGATAAATCGAGTTATTCGAGTACTATCTTTTGGTATATATTTTGCTGTATCAACAATTTTGCTCTACTAGGCTCTGCGGAAGAAATTTAAGTTTTTCACCATAAAATAAACTTTCTTTTTGTATCAAAAAAATAAATATTAAATTTAACCCTGAAAAATAATTTTTTCTCAAACTTACTGTTTGTTTATATAAAGAATAATTCAAAGTCAATTGTGATTTTGAGTGTAATAACACATGATAATAATAGTGATAAAAAGAAGAGAGAAGCCATATGTTTGCTTAATTAAATAATTTTAAACAAAAGAAAAAGTTTTCATCTGAACGCATATATATGACAAAAAAATTGAGCATTCACTAATATAACGAATAAGAAATCTGCGCGACTAACAGTAGTTATTTTCAAATAATGAAAACCTTCTATTTCTAAAGTAAAATGATTGATGCATGAATTATTGTTAAGAATAAACTGTTTATTAATTAGATCTTTGAATTTTAGAAACCTAGTAGTTGAAAACCGTATCAATTTCTATCAACTATATCACTACTGCAATAGATCCACCGATTATTATTAAAATATCCTATTATGGTATCCACAACCAACTCAATTTTCTCATTATCCCTTCTAAAATTTCTAATTTTGATCGATATAAAATTACGTCGGATATCAATCACAATATAGACAAACAGACATGTGAATATCAACAGAAAACAAACACACACACACACACATATATATAACAAATCTTTGAACACCACTACTGATGTTGTCGATACAGAACAAGTTTATTTATCGTTTATACAGAAGAAGAAAAATAAAGTGTCGATCATATTTCAAATAGCATGTTCCACATTTTAATGCCAAATTTAAACTTATACACTAAATCACTTCCATTATATGCAACTAAGACCTATGTATATGATAAAAATGAATAAAAGAAAGATTTTCAACAAAAAATTTTCATTTTCAAAACAAAGAAAATAACTGGAATTATACCCGTTTGTATATAAATGAATCTGATCGATTATCAGTTTGGATTAGGTCCAATATTGAACATTCGTAAATGATACTTTTATTACAACTACATAAAAACTTTTTTTGATAAGTATCTGTTACAGTATGGCAGATTTTTGTTTATTCTTTTCTATTATTCAATAAATACTTGAGAGAAAACATGTAATCACACACAGAGATTAATAAAATACCAGAAGAGATTTGAGACAAATTTTTATCTTAAAATGAATAAGAGTTGTAGTTATATCTTTCAGGAAAGTCTAATTAACATGAGAACAAAATCATAGAAAACATTCACGAAATTCAATAAGCTAAATTGTCAGAAGTTGAAATATGAAATTAAATCAGACGATTTTTAAAATCTCAATTTGAAACTTGTATCTTAAAGTGGCAAAGAATTTATCACAGTATAGAGAAGAGATGGATAGAATAATCTTTAATCCTGATCCGACCACTTATAATATGCTCAAATTCCACCGGTTTCATTTGGGTACTACCTGAACATAATGGTTAGATTTTACCGCTTCACTTTATATTCCACTGAATGACAATAGAATGTACTATCAATATGAACCGATCGCATCCACTCATTATTTATCTGGCAAAGCAGCAAGACATATCTTCAAAGCACTCGTTTTTGTCTGGGCTCCGCATGAATCTTATGTGGACGGATCAGAGTTAAAAAGAAAATGATCAACCTCGTGACTGAATCTTTCTGTCACATCTACGATGGAAAAAGTATCGAACAAATATCGATGCTACTCGGATTTTATAAGTAAACATCAACCAAACTAAAAATTTTAACTGATATTATCTTATCCTACGTTGTACTGTGCAGAATATGTTGATACAACAAATTTTTCAATAATAAAAAGCAAAAAGAAAAACATAGAAAGAAAAACCGCACGCGAACATCGTGGCTTTTTCTCTCTTTCTTTTTCATACAAATGAAAAATGCATGAGAAAAGAAAATTGTTGAGCTAGAGTTGAAGGTCTGTTGTTAATTTTCTTTTAAACTAATTTCCATACATACATAAAAAAAAAAAAAAGAAAGAAGTAAAAAATTGTCTTGATTTAATTCTCCCTAGTATCGACAATTTTTGTCAGAACACTTGCTAGACTAAAGTGTTTTTTCAGTAAATATACTGAAGGAAAGAAATAGGGCATTTTATATTATTTTAATTCTAAAATAGAAACAATCAATAATCCATTTTTTTTTTTTTGTTTCAAGTATCAAGTAGCTCTTCGTAGTAAAGATAAATCATAATAAATAGTCCAAAAGTAAATTCTAAGTAAAAATATTATTTTCTTTTTTTGTACATTTAAACTTCCTATTAGGATGGAAAAAATACAAACATAACAATATTTTTTGAGTACTTAAAATAAGATACATCCTTTTACAATTTTTGAATATGAAAACGAAAAAAAAACGACGTTAAAATAATAATAATATTACATAAATATAAACATAGACAGATGGTAACTATAGAATGAAAAAAAATTAACAACTCTCGTCTTAATTGTATTGCAAAGCATTATGTTTTACATGGTCTTCCTTCCATGAATTAAAGCAGTTCAAAAGTTGTTTGTTCGTTTATTAGAAACCTTATGTTTAGAAGACGAAAAAAACTTCTACAAATTATTTGTATGATGACTCAAAGTTCATTCACATAAGAAACATAAGAAACATACATAGAACTGATTTTCTTTTCTTTAAATATCAAATATCACACTTTACAAATTCATTCACTCTATAAAAAATCATCATTGATGAGGTGCCTTCTTTCATTCAGACATATATATATTTGTTCTAGTACATCTTACCTTTCCCAATTTTATCCCAGACAAATCAATA